TACAGATAGATGGTTTGTGGCTTTGTATGTTCCTTTTAGCTCTATCTTTCAAATGAACGTTTTTGGTCTCCAATGTTGAAGACTGCTGAATATGAATCCAAAACAAAGGTGTAACAGTAGAATGTCATAGTTATGGATTTAGTTTTAGAACAATAATTCATTCCCTTGCATTTCCAGTGACTTTCAACAGAACATGTAGCTTATGACATTTCATAAGCTAAAGAATATGACTCACTCTCAGTCACTTCTGAGATATGGCCAAATTAGTTGCAACCTCATTCCCTGAATATTTCTCCACTACACCAAGTCTATACATACCATTAATGTTTGGACTGAGAGGTTGTATTAAATGATGCTGAGTATGTATTTATGGAAAGGTAGAAGTGTACACTGGAATGAGATGGCAATGTGGAAAGTTTGTGCTATGTTTCAATGTGTCCCTAAAGTTCACCTGTTGGAAACTTAATGCACAATGCAACAGTGTAGGGAGGTGGAGTCTAAGGGGAAGGATTAGGTCCCAGGGCTCTGCTCTCAGGAATGATAATGTCATTATCCGGGAAGTGAGTTCACTATTGCAGGAGAGGATTTGTGATGGAAATGAATTTAGCCTCTCCTGCTTGCTTGCTCACTCCTACCCTCTTGCCTTTCCACCTTCTACCATGGGATGACATAGCCCAAAGTTCCCTAGTAAATGCTGGCACCATGCTCTTACTCTTTCTTCTCAGCCTCCTAAACCATGAGCCAAATAAATTTATGTTCATTATGAATTACTCAGTTTCAGATATTCAGTTGTTGTCTCAGAAAATGGACTAAATATGGTTAAGATTTTCTTATAAATTTCATATTTGGGGATTGCCTACTTCAGATCCTGGGGAGGAGAAAGTTACCTCTTGCTGTCTACTCACTCTTCCTGGGTTTATGTTGAGATTTAAATTAGAGGTAGGCCCTGTACTTGGGAAGGCTCTGCTATGCCACTCAACAAGTGTGTCCCTTGGCGTGGTGAGGAGTCTAAGAGGGCAAGATGTGCTTACTGGGAATCTGGACCCACCAGCAACCCTCTTGACCAAGCTTCAAGTAGCTGTGACCCCTGAAATTCTCTCCCCAAACAACCTGGATTCCCGTTCCAGAGCTATACAGGTCTCCTTCCAGGTGATCTCCATGAACTCCACTGCCAATGTACCGGACTGATTTGCAGAGTGGCTAAGCAGGGCTGTGTGGAGAAAGGACTCAGACGTGCAGACGGGCATGTCTACTTGGGTGCATGCTCAGGGCCCCTCACGAGAGGGAGAGAAGGAAGGAGAGGAAGTAGCTCGATACAGCATGAGCTCAGCCAGTGCTTGGACACGGAGCACTGGGTGCCTCTGTGCCAGGCTTCCAGCAGGGGGTCCATGCTTTGTGTACCCTCAGCATGTCTGACATCACCCTCCACGTGGCTTCACGTCATCGGTGGTAGGTCTGATGTGTAGCACCTCACTGGTGCCTGACTTCTGTTCCAGAAGGCAGACTCACAATGTGGGGGAGTTCCTCCGGAATAAGGAAGGAATTCCTCAAGAGTATGGGAAGTTCCTCAGGAATAAGAAGGTGCTTAACGGATCCAAGGTGGCCACCAACACAAACTTGGGAAAAATGCCCCTTCCCCCTACACTGGGTCCTATGCCCATGAAAGAAACAGGCTTGGGGTCTTGTGGCAGCTCCTCTGTCCCCACTTGTCACTTTTTCTGTGCCTACACTGGGGAAGGAGTTTTTTGCAGAGGGACAGAAAGTGTTGGATGGAGTCAGTTCTTCCTGGAAGGGAAGTTTTGGGGGAGGCCCAATATGTTCTTCATTTTTAATTCTTATACTTGATTTCTAGTGTTGTATGCTTTCATGTTTTATGTTTTAAGTTTCTCATCCTGAAGCTAGTGGTATCTTGGTCTGTTTTAAGTTGCTATAACAGAGTCCCTGAGACTGGGTAGTTTATAAACATTAGAAATTTATTTAACTTACAGTTCTGGAGGCTGGAAGTCCAAGATCAGGTGGCTGCATCTGGTGAGGGCCTTATCATGCCTCGTAACAGCAGAGAAGTGGAAATTCAGGAGACTGCATTGCATGGGGGAGGACCTCGCTTTATGATATACTGCTCTCAGGGCCGCTAATCCAGTTCCACCAGAAAGAGGACTTCACTTCCTCCTGTGGGAATTAACCGAGTCTTAGGAGAGCAGCATTGATCTCTTAACATCTTTTAAAGGATCGTCCCTCAATATTGCCACATTGGCCATCAAATTTCAACATGAGTTTCAGAGCGGACAGACCATATTGGAACCATAGCAAGGAGGAAATTGCTTTATGCCTCAGATGTGTATTTTCTCTTTAATGCCCAGTAGCTTTGTGTGTACCATGTGCCACTGCATCGTGTGACACACTGATGTTCCCAGATGTGGGATAGTCAGCAAAGAACAATGGGAACCAGACTTGTCTGTTGGCTTTCTTGTGTGTGATTGCCAAACAAATCGGGGTACACGTTAGTGAACCAACAAGGCTGCTTGGGGTGGAGGGTGGCTAGCTGTGGGCTTCTGGTTACCTGAGGCCCCAGGGGGCTGGCCATCAGTGTCTTGGCGTCCCCCTCCCCCGACCTTGCTAAAAGCTGCTGTGCAGAGGTCCAGTCATGTCATCTGTGTCATAGACCTTGTACGCAGGATATTATGGTGTATTAATTTACTGGGTGACTGAATCTCTTTCCTGTCCTTGGTTATTTTATTTTGTGAGGTAAATTCAATTTGAAAAATAACACAGTGGACTAAATCTGCGACTTTGTATTTATCAATGGTGTTTTCTGAAGATATATTTTGCATTTTACCATAAACCGCTTTTACGACGGATATGGATCAGTTGCCCCTGAATGAGGGGGGTCTTGTCTACCCAGTGTTTCTTTGCCTATTAACAGTTTTCCAGCCGGGCATGGTGGCACATGTCTGTAATCCCAGTGACTCAAGAAGCTGAGGCTAGTGGATCCAAAATTCGAGGCCAGCCTTAGCAATTGAGTGAGGTCAGAAGCAACTCGGTGAGACCCTCTTTCAAATTAAGAAAAATAAGAAAGACTGGGGATGTAGCTCAGTGGTAAAGCGCCCCTGAGTTCCATCCCCAGTATCAAAGTGTCAAAGAATGAACGAACGAAGGGAAGAGTCAGTTCTTGGTCTCCAGCTCTCTCCTCAGAGTTGTCCTCATCACCAGTTCTTTTGCCAGTCATCTGGGCATGAGCCCTTCATCTTACTCCTTAAGAAGAATTCTACCTTTTCCTGTGTGATTTCTGGTCTATCTCTAGACCCCAGCGGCCCCAGTGCCATTGCTGTTCTCCAACCCATACTCGGTACCCATTTTCTTTGCTTGCTTTTCTTGACTCTAGGCCAAGTTTCCGTCCCTGTGTGTCCCATACAAAGATGGCGGGTGGGTGGGGTGGCTTACTTCCTTCCCTCCTTCCTTTCTTCCATAAGTGTTTACTGAGCTCCTACCAGATGCAAGTGTGATGGGACCCTCCTCCCAGATCTTTGCTTGCTTCTTAGAGTCAACTTTGAGTCGGTTGGAAGTCCCAGATGCAGCTGGACTGGACGAGGAGAACTGAATGGAGACATCCTAGAGGGCACTGTGACAGGGCTAGGACCAGAGCTAGGACGAGAGCTGAAAAGGAACAGAGCAAACTGGAAGATGACCATGGGAGAGTGGACAGGGCAGAGTGTCGACCTCATCCCAGGATCCAGAGGGTGGAGGTTGGGAGTGCGTCAGATGCACAGGGACATCCAGTTAGATGGAAACTCAGTTTCTGTGTAATTCCCTCAGCTGCAGAGAGGTGTCTGGGGCACCACCTGGAGACGGGGAAGGCTCTGTCCCAGGGTCCTTGGCATGGAGAAACTGGGAAGGCTGGAGGTTTGGGCAGTGCATTCCAGAGGAGTCATGAACACGGAGGGCGGGTGTGCACGGCTCAGCAGTGGGTAAGCAGTTGGCGATAGTGAGTATGAAAATTCTTAAAGGAAGTTTCTGGGTCCAAAAGGAAGAAGAAAAGTGAAGCAGGTTTGGGATGTGGGGAGTCAGCCTCTCTGTACGAGTTTTCTTGAACCTGCCAAATAAATTCATCCCTCGTCAGCCTTCTCTTCTCCCCCCATCTTTAATTCCCTTGTGACTTTATATAATACCCTCAGCTGCAGAGGTGTCTGGGGCACCACCTGGAGATGGGAAGGCTCTGTCCGAGGGCTGGGGACGGGAATTTCAGGGAGTCTTCCCTGTGGTAGGACTCACGCTCTTGAGCCCCTGAGGTTCTGATGGCTTAATGCGATGTACTTACCGTCTCTGAAGGGTAACAGGAACAATCGGTTGGGATTCAGTGTGTCTGGTCTCAGCAAAGTGCTTAGCATTGAATTTGTCAGGCTGCTTTTAGGATGGATATTAAAAGGTCTATGTGGCCTCACAAGTTTGTTATGGGCCCGAGGAAATGACTCAGACATGAAAAAAAAAATATCAGTCTCCAACATATTAAAAGAAAACACAAGGGAATGATGGTGAGGTAGTGTATAGGACGGAACAGCAGGGCAATCTAAATCGGCTTTTACGAAGTCATTTTAAATCATGCAATATGGGCTGCAGGTCTACCGATACACTTGATATAAGGAAGATCAAGGACTTGGAAAACGAGTGTGCTGGTCTCAAAAGGCCCGGCCTGAGGCCTGGTAGTGAGCTCTGACACCCACCCCAGAGGACATGTGAGTCATTTCTGCATCCATGTCTGGCAAAGGGCGTGGGTCTCATCAAAGATAGTTGGGGGTTGTAAGACCCTCTGTGTTCCCCACACCTGTGACTTCATTTCCTGAAAGGGTTCCGTCCTCAGGGCTGTGGGACACAGACCTTTTAAACATTCAGCTCGTTTTTGTGGGCACAGAAGCCTTTCCCACCTGGAAAGGGGTCCTGGCGGCAGCTGTGGGTCCCTCAGGCCTCTAGATTCAAACTTCACTCCTGTCCTCTTTCTTCCCCAGGTGGACACGTCCCCTAAAGATGGTGACTCCCTCCTGAGCAGCCGGACCACTTCCCACAGGAAAAGGCCTTCTCCCAGGTAACAGGGCTGGGTCCCCCCGGGATCCCCCTGCTTTTCCTCAGCTCAAGGTGACCCCGACATGGCTTGTGCTCTAAGCAAACATATCTTCCAGTTCTTGGCCCACTTTTCTTTGGGAGAAGCCCTGTGGCGCTGTCAGATTCAGTTTGACTCTGTAGCTGGCATTTGAATGTTTGTATATATTTAGGAGGTCCTAACATCTGGGTGGGCCTGGAGGTCATGGGATTCAGTGAAAAAGGCTGGGTACAGGAAGACACACACTGCATGATCTCACTCATACATAGAAGCTAAAAGAGTTGATTTCAGAGGAGAAAGAGCAAGACAGTGGTCCCGAGAGACAGGGAGGGAAGGCACAGGGCAGGTAAGAGGAAGATTTTATCAGATATTTGAAGGAGTCTGTGACTCAGTTGAGAGCCACTGCCTGCTCACGTTTTCTGGTCACCCAAGCCCCACTGCAGCTGTGAACTCTAAAACGATGATTCCCAATGTGGGAAGAGAGCGCTCCTCAATTCTAGAACATTCCAGGCCTTCCTGTCCATTTTTCACTTTTCTTTCACTTTACACCCAAATTATTCTTCCTTCCTTCCTTCCTTCCTTCCTTCCTTCCTTCCTTCCTTCCTTCCTTCCTTCCTTCCTTCCTTCCTCTCCTCCTCCTCCTCCTCCTTTTTCTGCAGGACTGGGGATAGACTCAGGTGCTCATGCGGATTAGGCAAGTGCTCTATTGCTGAGCTACATCCCTAGACATTAAAAAATTTCATTTTGAGGCAGAGTCTCACTGAGTTACCCAGGTTGGCCTTGAACTTGGATTCCTCCTGCCTCAGCCTTCTGAGTAACTGGGATCAAGGTGGGTGCCACCACACCTGGCTATGTTTGAAGTTTTGATTTTGGCTAGAGACGACACTGCTGGCCTTGTCCCAGGAGATCTGGGCCTGGGTAGCACCAGTGACACCCTATGATCTCCTCTGAGCTGTCTGTGGGTCCCTGAGCCTGTCCGCCTAACCTGGACAGCCCTCCTTGGCCCCCAGTCAGCCTGCCATCCCCACCCTTGTCCCCAGGCACACATCTTGCCCTGCTGGATGGCCTGCCCTCTCATCTCTCATCTGGACCTTCATGGTAGCCTGTCCCCACTCTTGTCACTAGGTTATATTCCATCCGGGTGCCAAGATTTCCAAAAAGAAAACCTAGCCACAGCCCGCTGCACGATATAAAATCATGAAGTGATTTTCTGCCATCTTCAAATGACCGTCCAGCTCCTCGGCACACCCTTCATGTTGGGGCACTTTGGGACACTCCAGTCGCACCTCTTGGCACCATCCCATGTGGACCCAGGCGTGAAGATAGTCGCGATATAATTGCTCAGTGGGGCAGCAACTAAATAGAGAAATGACTGGATAACCAACAACATTTCCCCAACACCTGCCTTTGTCTTCGGACTGGCCATGCGATGCAGAATAACTAACATCAGAGGGACCTTGGCGGATACTGTTTGATCTGAGCCCTTTCAGTGTGGCGACTCATTTCATCCTCATAGCAACCATCAATGGCAAATACTGTCACCAGCCTCACTTTGTCACTTGGGGGCACTGAGGCATGGAGGCTGAACTTCTATCCATGGTGCCCTTGTGTTTGGGGATCCCCGGCTTAAACAGCCTCTCCACTCCTGGCACTAGGAAGCCAGTCCGTGTCAGCTCTACCTTGGAATTTCTGTGTTGTCTGAGGGTATCATGGGGTTTGTGTTGATTTTTTGGGGGTTGGGGGTATTACCAGGGATTGAACTCAGTGCTACTCGACCACTGAGCCCCATCCCCAGCCCCATTTTGTATTTTATTTAGAGGGATGGTTTCACTGCATTGCTAAGTGCCTCTCTTTTGCTGAGGCTGGCTTTGAACTCAGGATCCTCCTGCCTCAGCCTCCCGAGATGCTGGGATGACAGGCATGTTCCACCACGTGGGGCTTGTGTTGACTTTTATTGGGAACACAGCTGGATGAGTCCCTCTCTGATGCTCTCACTCCCCTTGGTCACGTGACCTTTACTGCCCATCTCTAGGTCAGTGCTGACCCGTTGACCCCTGGGTCCTAGGGACTGATGTGGATTCTGGACGGCTCCTGGTGAGGGGAAGGGGGTGACTCCCACCTCTTTCTTTATTCCAGTTTGGGGGCAGAAGTCAAGCCTGGCGCCCTGTTTTACAGACCGTTTGAGTAGGGAATGACTGATGTCCCCTGCCTCAGTGCCCACCTGTGCCAGGTGAGGACAGAGAGGTCCAGGAAGGACTCACGTCCAAGACCACACTGCCCAGGGGTGGACACCACTGGTCTTGGACGTGTGATCATCGGGGTTGTTTGTCTCTGCTCAGTCTGGAACTATACCTTAGACACGCTCTCTCTAAAGACCCTTTGGCATCTTC